CACCCAACATAACAGTTATCAATATCTCTCTTGATACCAATGGTACCCTACGTTTTGTCACCATATGATCACAGAAGTTCAGCACCTGAACACCAGGAGTTGGGAATACCACAACTTTGCATAGAGTGATTGTAAGCACTCATGTAATAGTCTATCCATAACATCACTTGTGACATTTTAATCATCATTCATGTATCAAAAATTCATTACAGTCATTTTATGTATCATCCTTAAATCATAATAAATGAATGTCTGCAAGCAGTTATTTCTTAAACATATTCATCTGTATCATAGCATAACATTACATTAAATGTATCCTAAGTGAAGTGAACTTGCATTTATACATTTAATGCTGATATCCATTCACAATATGCAATAAATTCTAATTACATCGATGTCAAACGTGAAATTACATTAAAGCATATATATAATTATTTTTTTTATAAAGTTAACACAATATTATTTCACTTGATTAGACGAAGAAGTACGACGAGTTCTCACATGCTCGTCTTAAGCTCGTCGCCTCGTGCAACCAACCTGAAAAACACACATATCGTAGAAATTCATGAAATTTGTGCGCATATCATGATTTAACCGGAAACTTAACTCATTTGCCAAAACATACTCTTCCGATATTACATATTCCTTTCTCTCTTCTTCCTACTCCCATAATCCTCCTTTCCCCTCTTTAATTTCGTGCTGAAATCCTTAAAGGAAGCTCACAAACCAAGTTCAAAGCTTCCGACGCAAAATCATCTCTTCTACGGCTACCATAAACAAATAATGCACAAATTCTTGGCAAATGCCAAAACGAAAACAGGACAAGGGAAATGAATGTCTACAATAGCGTTAAAGAGGGTTTCGTACTCACCAATTTCTCCTTTGAGCCTTGGATTGCCGACTGCGGCACTTGACTATGCCTGCAACTCCGTTTGCTACTGTGGCCGATCACTGCTCGTGAAGGAGAGGGGAAAAGGACGCGGCTTTTAATACCACTCCTTTTAATCTCAGTTGTTTGCATCATCCAAAGGCTGAAAATTGCGAAATAAGTTGGCTCGAAACGGTAAGGAGGTTAGATTAAGGGAAGGATTAGGATTAATTAAAATTTAATTAATTTAATTAAATTTATAGCTTCCAAATTTTATATCCCCCAATTTAATCATAGTAAATATATTGTGCTTTATATTGAATTGATTGATTTTATGTGTTGGATTTTATAAAGATAATTCGATTGAATTCGGAGGGGTGCAAAATTTGGGTTACATTTAAATATGTTGGGATTTTTACGTGATTTTTCAAATTTGGGTGTTACACATTGATTGTTTCCATCCCATCCGAGTGATTTTCTTCCCTCAAGATCTTTGTTGCTCGTATTATTGCCATTATTGGGCAGCACTCACTTTCTCTCCTACTTGTCTCATCCTTCTTTGAATGTTCCTAGGTTCACAATGGTTCTCCAAGTTGGCCACCGACTCTTATGTTGATGGTTCTACTATCTCAAAGGTTTCTTCTACTGCTTTCATTTAGTTGGATAATGCACCTCATATTGCTTGCAAGCTTTATTGATTTTATAGCAGTTATGAGTGGACCATAGGTATTAGGATTGCACTCTTCTGTTTCCATTCTTTTTTTAAAAATTTTTGTCAATACTTAGTTCCACCCTAACATAAGCAGCCATATTCTATCAAGGCAATCTTCCGTTCATCGTATCTGAGGATGAGGTCAATGAGTTTGCTAGGCCCCTCTTTTTACCTTCGTTTGACAAATTCTCATTGTGTTGTTCCAACGTGGATGCCATTCACAAATTCCATTCAGACCTTCACTAGGTTATTATTCAGTTGTGTTAATTGATCCTTATCACATTATCATGACATTACCTTTAGATGCAGCTGCACACGCCTTTTCTCTTAACACACATACTATTTTGGTGACTTTTTGACATGTATGCTTAAATGGTGTCTCTACCAATTATCCCTATTTGAGTAACTTTTCCGCATCTATGATTTCATTTATATTTTTTAGGTTTAATCATTAGAAAAATTGTGCAAGTGGATGTTGCTACTGCTCGTTTCTCGAGACTTTAGGTGGCCAAAGATTTGGTTAAAATTGATGTTACATTATAGTTGGGAAATAAGGCATGAATTGGCTGAGAGTTTTGTGACTATTGCCTAAAGCGAGTATTTGAGACCATCCTTCGTATTATTCTTTCGAGCAAATTTTTTTAGCACATTTTTTCTTATTTCTTCAATGCTCGTTTGGATATGAGACAAATAAACATTTAAGTTCCAGAAGGACCTTCTGATGTTTGGATTTGTCTTACTCTTTTAATGGTTGCTGCTTCTCCATCACCAGTTTAGGTCTGCTCTAAAAATTTTTTTGAGACCATCATGTCTGCCTCTACCGGCTCTATAGATTTGGCCACTATATTTGAAAAAAAAAGAAAATGAAATTGATTCTTTTGTTATGATGATTCTCCCATTCTCTTCGAGCAGTAATGATATAAATGATCATGATGCTTATCAACTTGATTATGTGATGGGTGCATTGTAAATGATGACATTTTACCTGGATGGTTGTTTTTGAAGCTTATTATCAGGCTGGGCCTTAACTAAGAAAAAAAAAAAAATCCTCACTTTGTTTTCACCGGGCTTCACAATTCAAACGAGCTCTTTCTCTTCTCTGTTAATTTTGTGTAATGCTGGACATTTTATTTCTAGCTTCCAGCTTTATTTATTTGGTTTTTTTTCTTTTTGTATTTTTTGTTGTATTTTGACAATTCTAGCAATTGCCCTTGTTGTTATAATATTGCACTTTGATATTTTTTTTTTAAATGGAAGCAGTAAACCAATTTACGGTGAAGAAAGAAGCAACATCTCTTCCGACTTAAGATTTAAATCGATGCTATTAAACCCTAATGGTTATGTGGATGTTAGCAGCTGCCACTCATCATTCTCATCATCTAAGCGGGTTTGGCACTTTGCATAACATGACATATGCAGTGACAGTACACCACCATAAATTAGCCAAATTCTTTGATAACTTACAGATTGAGAAATGTGTGGCAAGAATGGTTAATATGTATGTTTTTGTTTATGTAGTCCTATTTTGAAGGTAATTTATCACCTGCCTATTGCATCTTCCTAATCGAACACCCTTCTTCATTGCCTTCTCTTGTTTTCCATAAATAAGAGTGGGATAGGGTGGGAATGGTCTTTACTGTTGTAAACTGTAATGACCGGTATTTTGTTCAAATAAAAACTGAGTTTGTGACTTTATGCATTCACATCTTATGCCTTTATTTGAGAGTTTAGGTCAGGCATTCAAACAAAAACCACATACTTTACGCTCTCTCTCTCTATCTCATTATCTTTTTTTGTTCTACTAACATCTAGAGGTGCTGAAAATTTGTTCTTAGGGGGTGTAAGTAACCAGGAACATTGAGTCGTTTGAATTGCCATGCCTGCCTAACCTCTAATCTCTATTGAACACCTACTTCACTAATTGACCCCTTATTTCATAAAAAAATTGGCTCTGTAGAGAAAGATGAGTTCCAAATATAAAGCTCGGTCTTTCTCCATATTGTAGATTTCTCTAAAATTCAAATGAACAAACCTTCAACGAGTAGGAGTCTTGCTCATGAGCTTCTTATTTATCCCTCAAATACACAATATTATACTATAACAATGGCCAGTACCCATGGATGCAAATCAGGCCCCATAAAATCTGCAAAATTTGGAACGAGAGAAAATTTTGGAACAAAATAATGAAAGCCACCTACAATTTTTTTAAAAAAAGTTAGAAGATTTAAAGGTCCATCCAACAGTTAGGTGTTTGCAACTCAATAGTATACACGTTAAATTTTCACAGAGCCATTTGGATAGTTAACAGTTAAATTCTCAAGTTTCCTCAAAATAATGAAATCTTTAAGTGAGACTGTGAAGTTTGATCTCCCTCCTTTAAATGTCAGAAAGCCATAAACACAATACTTAAATTGTAGAATTTAGCACTCAAGTTTGGTATGAGAATTAGAGGGACTACTTGGATAAAGTGGTTTGTCCGAGCAATTGCTTTCCTTAAAAGAACTAGAGTAAGTTTTATGAGAGATGAATTTATTATGCACTTTTGATCAAAAGTGGTTTGTCTGATTTAGTTCTCGTTCAGTTTTTTCACATTTATTTCTGAATACATGCAGTCAGAATTTTATAAAAAATATTTTTACTTCACTGATGAAGTTCTTTGTAAATGCAGTGGAAAAGATATTAGAGTCATCTTTCTACATCAAATTATAGGTTCCTTTGCGCTTTTTAAGCTGAAGTTTTATTTTAAAAAATGATGATTTCTTTTTGCTGCTTATTAATATTTTTTTGCCTTTCTTGATTCAATGATCCACCATGCTTATATATTTGGACTGTAATTGTGTGAATTTCTCATTATAAAATGAGCACATTGGTTGTTTTAATCATTTAGTCGACCTTCTTAAAAGCGCTGTTTTTAAAGCCCAAATTCACCATATTAGGACCTGCTTGTTTTATAATATTGGCGAGAACCTATAGGTAGTCATGAGACTGATATTAGTTATTACCGGACACACTTCCTCCAATGGTCATATGTACTAAATTAGTTCTAGTATTATTTGTTATTTTGGCTTGGTTTTGTGAAAAGCTCTATTTGAACCTAACTCTTCATCCTTGTTCGTGAGGATATTACTTCTGTGACGTGAATGCTTTGAGGAGTCTCCAGCCATAACCTGTAGTAATTATTGTTTTGCTGTAATTTGGAGACCTTAAATTTTTTATTTTTTACAGGCATCTGCTTGTTAGATTTCTTACATTTTGATTTCATTAATATTTATGAATTAGCATACGTTTTGTTGCCTTATCCTAGTTTCATAAATCGAATATTAATTTAGAGTTCTTTTGTTTTGCATCTTGATTTTTTATTTGATTTTATTTCTAATTTCTTAACACTTAGTGACTTATCTTCAATCTCTTTGCTTTTAGATTTGCTTCCAGGCTATTAGCTTGGTTCTTGAGCCGGATATTGGGGGCATCTGTTGGATTTAGGGTTGCTGGCTGCAATTGCTTGAGAGATGTTAGTTTTAAGTTCAATAAGGTCACTTCCTTACTCTTAACATTTGTATGTGATTGTTTGGAATTTGTAAATGCTTATGATTTCAATATTGCTCTGTTGTAAACAGGTATACAAGCATGTATAAGAATAATAAAAAAGCTTTCTGATTTATCAGAAAGCTGCATGAGTCTTGAACAGCTACCCATTTCATCCCTGCCTTTTAAGTACCTCCCTGACATGTTCAAAAGTAGCGTGTCTTTTAATTGCTGGAGATTGAATATGTAATACAAAATTTACCAACAAGTTTGCTAGTGAATATGAGAATAGTCTTCATGTTTTTGAAACTCTATATTTGTATCACCTATTGCCTTTTGTTGTTTTTTTTTTAATCACACCTCATGTTTTTTGTCTTTACTAGATTCTTTATTCGTTCTCCTATGTCCATCATTGTCCAACATTGTTTTTTTTCTACCATGCCCTTAATTTCACTATTTTTTTAAATCACTTGGTTGATTCCTTTTAAAGAGTTCTAAGATTTTTAAGTATTTTTTTTTTTAAAAGTACAACTCATGATGATAACATCAATGTTTGTATGAACCATCGATTAATGGGGGTGGATCCATACATTAAATGGAGTCAAGGTAATATTAGTTAAATTTTGTTATAGATATGAAATCTTTATTTAATTAGAGTTATAATTTTGTTATTCATCATCATCATCATCGTCATCATCATCAGCATCATTTGTTTTGCCCCATCTATTTGGGGTCGATTTTATGAATCCTTAATTTTCATAACTTCTTCCTGATTTCTACCTAAGTTGGTAAACCCTTTTTTTTTGAGAACTTTTATTTATATCACCTTATGTTTGTATCCTCACGTTCTTATTCATTTGATCTTAATTTTATTTGCTCATATCTTTTTTTGTGTATGCCCAAGTTATTGAAATTTATTTTCACTTTATGTTTAATAAACCGCTCTAATTATTCATTTAATGTAATCAAATTATAATTTACCTTTAATAGTTTTTCCCCTCATCCATTTTTAAAGTTTCATTTCTTTCATGCTGAACTTGAAATATCAATAAATTTTTTGCTGCTAAACATTATTTGGATAATTTTGATTTTATTAAATGCAACATAGGTTCCCTTGATATTCTTTTATATATAATAATCTTGAGGCATTTCTCCATTTTAACAACAGAATATTAGCTCCAAAAATTATATTTTCATTTTTAACCCTATTCTTCTTTGCAATTGGGCCCAGACACTTAAAACCTATCACTCAAAAGTTTCACTTTTATCTTTTGTTAATATTGATTGATAATTATTATTATCACACCAACTAAAATTTTATATCATATGCTTAGTCTTTGTTCAACTGATTTTAACTCCTCTATTTTCTAAAATTTTATCTCCATTTTTTCACTTATTTCAATAAATATCTCACTAATTAGAATCATCATTTGCAAAAATGATATACTAAAACACTTCACTTATCATATTTTTTGTCAGCAGCTATATAAGCAATACAAAATCTATAACTCAATGATGAAATATATCAATAATTAGAAATTCTTTGGTATCTCCACAATTGCATATACTTCTTGTTAATACTTCTTCATATGAACTATTAATAATTTTGACATATCATTGACAAACTGATTTAATTTAATTCTCATGGTTCTCGATTTTTTGCTTTTTAAATAGCAATAAAATCATGTTAAATTGTTTTTCTACTCTCAATACTTTTACATTTATTTTTTTAAGATAAATTACATCTATAATCGTCACGACTCAACCTGAAAGCTCAGAGTATCTTGGTTGGAAAAGATAGATGAGCAATGGTTTAAATATTTACTTTATTAAAAACTTTCATTAGTAATATATAGCAACTTTTCCAAACAATTTTTACAAATGAACTACTAAGCCATCAGTTCTATTTATCTTGAAATGATAACATGATACACTTTTTATTTAAAAACACACACTAGTGCGTATACCGTGTTATATATATATTTCATTGGATGTTCCACATTTGCTGTAAATGAACTTTCTTTCTTCACCCATTTGTTATCAAGGATTATTTTGAAAGAATTTATTAATGAACAAGGGTGAATTATATGTGTAACTTGGTGGATTAATTACATTTGAAGCTATAGTAATCCAATGAAGAAAATAATATACATGCTAATTATCATAATTAAAACTTTTCCTTAGATAGTAATAATAATTTTAAACACACACACAGATATATATATATATATATATATATATAAAAGGAATGGTCGGGGGCTATTATACGAGCCCAGGCCATGTCTCATGCACACGCACACCAATTCCATTACTCAGATGGAGACATCATATTATATCTCATCTTATAAAACAACCTTCGCAATAGTACTATTTAATTATGCCATTTTAAGTACGCAAATATCCTCTTGTAAACTGGAGAAGAATAAGTGGTTACAAAAGTTTAACTTGTTCTTTCCTTCAATGGATATTTATATACAAAACCACAAATAAAAAATGAAATAAATAATTATATAAAGATAGACTTTAGCTATCTGCCATTTGATTATTTAGAGATCTTCGATTGATGCCCATGGAGTAATTTGTGGGCTCATTCTTTCCTTTTTGTATATGAATCAGTTTGAGATATTTTTTTTATAAGCAATGAATTCGTGATATCCATTTTTGTAGCTAGACTTTATTGATTCAATGACTCTTCAACACTCTCATCAATTGGTTATTAAAGGTCTATAATGTCGAGTTTGTTCATAATATTCCTCAATGTGGGGTTGTTGAACGCTTCAATAAATATTCTACAATCTTCCTGTTTGGACATATGAAGTGCAAATCAAACTACTTTCTTATTTCTCTTTTATAAAATGTCTATCCATTATGTTTGTACGACACGACGTATTCGATTATAAGCAATGCTAATAACAAATTTATTATCACTGTGTATCTTTATAGTCCCACTTGAATTTTAATTGTTTTTGTATAATCTTGATTCATAGAAGCTTGTAAATTCTATGGGAAAATTCATATTCAACACTATATTTTGATAGAACAAGTTGTTTCTTACCTAAGTTTTGAGATTTTCTTCCAATATCTTGAAGCGGACCGGCGATCCACAGGTGATCTAGCATAGTTTGCATCAATATATTCTTCAATTTATAGAGTATCTTATTTCTTCCATAGATTTTTTTTTTCTGAAATTGATTTAAGATATCTAAGAATTTTTTAAGCAACTTGAAGATGAAGTTTGTTAAGTTTGTGCATGAATTGGCTAACATATTCAACACTATATCTTGATAGAACAAGTTGTTTCTTACCTAAATTATGAGATTTCCTTCTAATAGTGTGCAATATCCTGAAGTGTAGTGGCTATTCATAAGTGATCTAGCATAGTCTGCATCAATATATTCTTCAATTTATAGAGTATCTTATTTTTTACATAAATTTTCTTTTCCTGAAATTGATTTAAGATATCTAAGAATCCTTTAAGCAACTTGAAGGTAAAGTTCCTTAAGTTTGTGCATGAATTGACTAATACCACTTACTACTAATGTGATGTTAGGATGTTTGTAAGTCAAATAGATTAAATTTTCATGTACTCTTTGATATTGTTCCATATCTACTTCCGGTTTTTACTCCATCTATGTCTAATTTCCAATCTAATTCAGTTGGGATTTCACATTGTTTACATGTCTTTTCTATTTCTTTTAATAAATCCTTAATTTATTTTTATTTGGAGAGAAATATTTCTTGTTTAGATTGAGCAACTTCTATGCCAAAAAAGTATGAGTTTGTCCAGCTCTTTTATTTCATATTTTTTGGCCAATTTCTTTCTAAGGATCTCTTTATGTGGTTTGTCATCACTTGTAATAATTATATCATCAATATATGCTGTGAGAATTGAGTTTTTTTTTTAGTTTGAGTGTTTTTGAAGGGTGTATGTTCTCCTTGACTTTGTTTGCATTTAGCTTCCATTATAATTTGTTGAATGCGCAAAAACAAGTTCTAGGGGATTATTTCAATCCATATAGAGCTTTTTCTAATTTGCACACATTATTTTTGTAAAGTTACTTTCAAATCTTGGCGGTGGATTTATGTATACTTCTTCGATTTATCCATATAAGAAAGCATTTTTTCATATCATCTTGTTGCATAGACCATTCAAAATTAGCAGCTAGAGAAATCAAAATGTCGATTGTATTCATTCTTGTAACTGGATCAAAACTTTTTTGATATTCAATTTTATTGGATTGAGTGTATACTTGGCCACTAATCTTGCCTTGTATTATTCCAAATTTCCATTTGCTTTATACTTTATTGAAAAAATTCACTTCCCATCCACAATTATTTTGGGTTGGTCCACAATCTCTCAAGTTTGTTTTTTATTCTGGGCATTTACCTCTTCTCTTATAGCTTTCCTCAAATTCTTATTTTTTAGTGCCTCAAATAGGGTTTTTGATATTGTAGCAGAATTGAGCTGATATTTCTAAGAAAAATCTTATATGTAGGAGAATATTTTAAAGGATGTATATTAGGTGAAAGGTATAAACGAGTGGTGATAGGATGATGAGATGTTTATTATTACATGATCATAGCTCTGATTCTTGAGCTTGTTGGAGATTTAGGCTGAGCTTTTTTCTTGTCGTGTAGTTCTAAAGGGGCACAATGCTAGGATTTGTTGATTCTGGATCGTAGGGATGTCAAGATGAAAGATAGATGTTTCATTAAATTTTTCATCCAGTTGGACTTTCTCCTTGTGAAGATAAGTTTAAATTTTTTTTATCCAATTTGACATCCATTAAATACAAAAGCTTTGACGGTGGGTTAATATTATTTTACCCTTTTTTAGTTGGACCCAATAACACACACTTAAGAGTCTTTCAGATCAAATCTTCCCCCATGTTGTTTGTGGATATGAACCTAGGCAATACACTTGATGACTTTTGGGGCAATCTTAAGAAGAAATGATTTGCGGAAAAAAGTAATGCCATTAAATGTACGAGACTTTTGGAGTCAACC